AACAAGAAGCCATCATCGAGAGCACTATAAAGAAAAAAAGAAAGAAAGAAAGAAAGAAAGAAAGAAAGAAAGAAAGAAAGAAAGAGAGAGGGCATGTTGACAGAGGGAATGCATTTTCTAACATAATATTGATGCAGCTCAGTTCAAACACTTATATCAAATACTAATATTGGCGAGTGACTCTCACTTGATAGTTGTGGTGGCGGCGGGGGCCGGTGCGGTGGGGGTGACAGAGGGCGGAGGAGGTTTGGCAGGTGGCCCGGGGCGAGCAGGGGGCCCACCGGTGGGAGCGGGAGGCGCGGGTTTGGCTGGCGCAGCGGCAGCAGCCGGCGAGCTGTTGTTGGCAGTCGCATCCTGCTGCAGAGAAAGTTAATGGTGACCAACAGGGTTATGTAAGCTGATGTGATTCAGCAGCTTTTTAATGCTGGAATTCACAATGAATCACTGCCTGTCTGACTGTAGTAGCAACTGTTAAGGGTGAAGGTAAAAGTCGAATTTAGCATTTACAGTTTTTAATTCATACACTGGTCTGTTAAGACCCAAATAACGTGTTATAAAAAAAGTTGCTATATACTGTATATATAAAAACATTACCACTACAATATGAATATAATGAACGCTTACCTTAGTAGGTGACCTGCAAGAACAACAATAGCACATGAGTTAAAGAGTTTAATGATGTACATGCTGAAACATAATGGCTGTTACTGAGATGGGAGGCAAAGTGACAGCTTAAGTATCACTTTGGTGTTTTCGGCAGGCAGCATTTCCATTTAGAAAACATCTGCAATTAATGGATCCATGCTGCACTGCAGAGAAATAGTATCTTGGCCCCTGATCCTCTTTAACAAAGCTTTGCTGTCCAACGTTGGAGACAGAAAGTAAGAGCTGGATGGCACAAAGCTTTGTAAAAGTCGGGGCAGATGATAGCAAAGATGAATATGTTAGTATTGACATCACCTGTCAGAGGCAAGACCTGCCATAGTACAGTGTGTCAATGGCAACAATGGTGCAAATTATGTTAGGTCACCAATGTAAACATAATGTTTACAGGAAAAATAAACAGTGTGGGCTTTCTATAGAACTGCATCTTGAACCAAGTTATAGTACACAACAATACAAAGGTCAGCTGCTTGTTCAGATGTCATTTCTATAGAATCACTGATGAGGGTTATTTATCAACACAAATGAGGGTAAAATAATATTCTAACTGACAGAATACTTACTTATCCTCTCTGAGTTGAGTAAAGACAGAGGAAATAACATGTTATTGAATCACACAGACCATGGAACTGTATAATTACAGGATTATTTAAGCTTCAGCTCTGCATTACTGCTGGTAAACAATTAAAAAACAGAACAGGTTTCATGTATCTTGAACTACTCACGGCTTCTTCCCCTCCAGTGTGTTAAGATGGGTCTCCAGGGACTCCAGAAGACTTTCTGGGGCCTGTAGAATAGTAAAGAGAGTGTGATCCAACAGGGACAAACGCATTACAAAGATTGTATGGTCAGAGAGGTTGACAGTACTGATTATACTCCACACAGAGGGCCACACAGTCAAACAGAAAAGCTGAACCAGGTTATTTCTATCCATCACATCTGAGTTGAGTGAGTGAGTTTTTCGAGTCCTCTCGGAAGCAAAACGTTTTTAAGGGCTAAGACCATCAGCACGAGTGCTGCAGGCTGACCGTGGCCGGGCGTGAGCCATCGGTTCCACGCCCGCTGCCGCCTCCAGGCTCAGCGTCGCATCTCCTTAATAGGAATGAAATAGAGTGAGGAAAGGGCAGGATTAGCCAGTGGCCGCACTGCGCTCAAGCAGGCCTGATACCAATCGCACCGCAACTGAGGGTGGGCAAGGTTCTGGTGGCCCAGGGCTCTAGCATGCTTTATGGTAAATGAACACACTGATAACTTGACAGCACTCTACTCTCCGATTCTCTTCTCTCTGAACTTCAGTCTGTCACTGGGTCCAGGGCTAGATGCCGCATTGCTATTTTCAGTGTACATGCTACTACATAAAAATATCTTTAATCACGATTTTAACTTTTTTTCCAGTTTTCAGTTTGATTCGGGCCTCAAATACCAACGCTGAAAATCCCCACCGGTGATCTTTTCTTGTCAAAATGATCAAGTACTGAAAATTAGCACTGAATGCTTTCTCAGGCTGTGTTTACTGTACGTATAGCAATCTTTGATCATATATTCCCTATTTTAAGTCATAACTGCCAATTTCCAACCATTGTACAGCAAATACAATAATTATAAAAACATCTGTCAACTACTTTATCTGTTTGTTACACAGGGAATAGAACACTAAGAGGGGAATAAAGCAGGATACATAAAAAGAAAATCCAAAAATAAAACAGAAACTGAAGAGAAAACAGAAAAAGGTTTCATCTCAATGCTATTAGAGAGAAAACTGTCCTAGCCAGCCATGATGCAAAGCTGCATGCTCAGCCAGGCTAAATGGGACATTATCACCTCCTGACATGCAGTAAAAAGGATAGCACAGTATCCAGTAGGCTTATTAAGAGAGGTCATGGCTAAATCAGACAGTGAAATAAGTCAATGATTTACTTTCCTTAATACCCCGCTCAATTTCCTGGATCTATCCATTTAAAGCTGTGGAGCCTATTATCCCTAAAACTTTGAGAGACCAACAAGGGAGAAAGGCTGATTATTTCCTTTGTCTTGGCACTGAGAGGGACGTGTAGACCATTTATCATCCAGAGACTTTACAGACAGTGTCTATCCATACCACCAAGAACAAAGATGGTTGTTTTGCAGACAAAGGGCAGATATAACAGCTCTATTACTAACATGCTCATAGTAGTTCTCATCTAAGGAGGCCAACATAAAAGCTGCTGAACCATGTCCCTGTGGTTGTGTATATGTTTGGAAAATGATCTCATATCACTGACATTGCCATAACTTGTAGTGAGTTTCCTACATCTACTCACTGCTCTAAAAAAATAGAGTGATGACATAACAACACATCTACAAAGACAGTCAGATGGTTATATTACTCCGTCTTGTTTGTTCTTATGTAATTCCTCCGGAAGGGATTAGAGAAGAAATTGGGACTGAGACTGATCCACTATAGTTTGAGGGATCTGGGAGATTGATATAGTTTACTCTCCTGGACACATTAATCGAATTTTATCAGCCATGCAGTATCTCATTTTTAAAGTCAGGGCCTCTAAGATACGCAGGTTGGGCGGTGAAGATTAATGATCTGATCCTGTTAAATTATGGCTACTTGAAACACTGGTGCACATTGGCTAGCAAGAAAAATGGTGCCATCTTTCAAACAGAGAGTCCCCGACCTAGTACTTATTCATTTTTGTGCTTCATTTAATCAGGCTAGCAGAAATATATTTTGCACAACGTTTCCATAAAAACAAGCAGGAATAGTTGAGTCTGTTTTTGTGTGAGATTAAAGACGTTATTGTGAACATGAAAACAGAGCTCAACTTCATGCTAAAATCCAACCAGCATGTCAACAGCATGCGCATGCTTTTAAGATTTTAATGGGAACATTTGCTAGAAACTGCCGCAGGACTGTGAGAGAAGAAAAATGTCAACAAGAAAAAGACATCAAGAGTATTTTGCACTGATATTTATAAGACTAAATATTCCAACTAAGAGAAATCCATTACAAAATCGCTCTGCAGGCAGGAGAATGTAATGTAGCTGGAAGACATATTCAAATCTAAAATGCCTTTTCTGGGAAAAACCTCTATCGCAATCAATCACAACCCACAACTGTTAAGTTAAAATGCGTTCAAGAACGTTGTTGAAGAAGGGACTGACAAACAACACATGGCTTGAAGGAAAGTGGATATACCACTTAAGTAAAACCACAAGTAAAGTACTCTACAGAGCAATACGATATAGGTATGGTTGGGCATTTTGGGAAATATGCTTATTCACATTGTTGCTGAGAGTTAGATTAGAGGATCATTACCACTCTAATATCTGTACGGCAAATATGAAGCTAGTGCTAGGTGATTAGCTTAGCTTGCATCAAGACTGGAACTCAGCCAAAAGTAGTCCTGCACATAACTCCTCATAAAAGCATAAATAATTGTATTCACATTTAGTTTTAGTACAGATTTCTGAGCTTTAGAGGTGCTGGTAGGCAGATTATTTCCCAGCTGTTTGCCTGTTTCCAGTCTTTAAGCTAAGATAAGCTAACCGCCTGCTGCTGGCTCTAGCTCCATATTTAGCATAAACACATGAGAGTGGTATCAATCTTCTCTGCTAAGTCTATGCAAGAAGTTAATAAGCATATTTCCCAAAATGTTGCTGTAGCTATATATTGGCCACAAATCCAGTCTGCTAACATAATTAACATAAATTAGCTTTGACTCTAGCTAATCTTGCAACTGTCCTAGCACATCAGTAAGGCGTTGACAAAATTCCTTGAGATGAAGAAATTAATTTGACTGTTTCTGGAGATCTAACACCCCATCTCCACTTCAAAAATGCTACAATAAAAGTGCCATACACATAACACATAACGGTGTTTGATTCGGCATGGTATACAACAGCATGCTTTTCATGCAAGTCATCCATACTGCCATTTTTGAAAAGATAAGAGTTTCCACAACACAAAAGAGTTTAGAAGCCTGGGTCTAATCCAGGAACCAACAGGTTTCCCATCCTGGGAATCATTCAGGAACCATAAAAGGCAGAAATAATCTTCACAGTGACTCTTTCGCTGTCATGGAAACTCTGCAGCACAACTGGAGGATAACAATCTGCTGTGCCTTTATGTAACTGTTGAACTAAAACTATGTTTAGGCCAGAGTTTTAGCAGCGGAAAACAGTCGCCTGGTCAGCAGCATTGTTCAGCATCGGCTCTTCCAGTCACATCATCCCACTTCATCACAGCGCCTGATGTATGTCTGCTGGGTGTGCACTCGCTGTGCAGTGTGCTTTAAATTCAGTGCACTCAAAGAGAGTTCAAATGTCGACCTTCCCTAAGCTGTTTGCTCCCCAAAGCTAGCTCTGTGCTCACTACTCACACTCTCAGCCTGAATGATCAATCTGCATCTCTGGAAGTGAAAAGAGAAGGGGGGCACAGAGGCTGTCAATCACCAAAGAACCAGAGCTCATCGGTTGCATGGAGATGAACATGAGGGGTACATTGCCTCCTTCTTTACAACATTGTGTGGCTGTCTGTTATGTCTCCATTATTATCAAAAAGGAGCAATAATGGTTAACATAGCGGGAGAAAAAAATAGGTGGCAGCTTTAGACATTCACACTACATGCAGTACCATTAGACAAATCACAATACTGACATGCTCTGTTAGTTCGTAGCCTAAAAAAAACTCCACAGGTCCAGTAATAGTAATAACAATTTACTGAAAATAGATTTCGGTAAGGGAAAGCCTTATTCAGTCTTACCTGGGTTAGTTCAGGTATGTCATTTTTGTCTATTCCCACTTGCTGTAAAAGAAGAAAGGGACATTTCAATGCAACAGTTACCAGGCAGAATAACATTTAGCTAATAAGCAGTCATACAATGTGCTCTGCAGGGTACCTCAGCAATTTTGAAGAATTCTGAAACCCGAGTCATTCGTGTCAAGAATCTCTTGTAGATCTCCAGCCCATCTTTACACTGGCTTCTCTTCATCTGGAAAAATTTTTCTAGACAACAAAGATAATGAAACGTGAACTTTTATCCCTGTTAAGTTTAAGGAATACGTCTGGTGATATTCTACAATTTTCTTTTAGTCAACACATCACAAAAAGACCAAAACTAACAACGAATTGATCCTATTAACAAGTATTGTGTGTGCTTCCAAAGTCTGATATAGCTTATTCCTCTGTTCCATAGATCCATTGTCTCCAAAAACTATTAAACACCCAAGTGAGACAAACTTGCACTGGGTCACATGTTCCTTCATTACCATGAACCTAGGCACTGTAGTTTGTTTTTATTATTTTATTTTATTTTGTTATTTTATTATTTATTTTTATTTTTACACTGTTCTGCTGCTATAAATAATCCCAAGAGAACGAAACCACCCAAAAAATTGTCTCGAGCTAATTCTTCATTTACTGTTTAAGTAACTTTCACTACTACTACACTACTCAGGTTGTTTTTGAAAATTACAGAAATAGAACTATGTATTTGTGACCCAGTTTTGAAGGTTTCTTTTTAATCTGTACTGTAGTAACAAATGGCTCAGAACTAATAGAGTGCAAGATAGGGTAGGGAAATTGGAAAGTAACCTCATCCTTATCATTTAACTTTTTTATATTGATTATCTAATTAACCCAGTGATAAAGCGAAAGAAGCGATTCTTTACCTAGCAGGTTAATGATGCCGTCATTGTAGCAGGCATACAACTTGATCAGATCTTTAAAGAGTAGGAGAAAGCAGGCATTTATCACTCCGTTGTTCAGATCCTTGGCATGCACCTGTACAGAGAGAAATAAAAGAGGCATGGTGCAGTTAGTTAAAGAAAAACAGAAAATAACCCAAAATAGCTTTCTAAAAACAAACTTACAAGTAGTATTGAAAGAAAAAGACAGTATACAATTCATTATTAAATTTAACCCTGGTCCTAGAGGTTGTCACTGTCTTCATAGATGCTGCAACAGCACTAAGCTTTGTTAAACACAGCTGGCAGTCCTTTTTTGTTTATCCCTCAGCAAATTCAGTAACCTTCCAAAGTGACTTTGTTCCCTATTAGCGAGTGTCACTCACATCAAAATCCAGCAGTGCGTCGATCTGGCTCTGCAGGGTGGGCATTCCTTTCAACAGCTTCTCTACTGACATGGTCCTCATCACTCCCTCAGCTCTGAGACGGAGGAAGAAATAGAAAATGTGAGAATTAAGCAGCAGCTCTAAGACACAAAGACTCATACTGTCTGAGAGCCAACACATACTGTAGAACACCTGTCTGTACCTGTCACACACACTGTATCCACCAACGTGTCTGGTCTCTATTTCTGTAGTCTAGTACGTCTGTATTTTCCATTGCCAGCTTATGTAGCCGGAGGGACCTTGTGGCTGCCAGCGAAATAGAGCTGTCCACTGTATGAGCATGAGTAATAACCCACTCTGTATTCATCTCTGCACTCAGTACAGGCAGTAAAGCCATGCACTTGGCCCAACGCCGCGCAGGAGGCAGTCCATCCCACGCACCATTGGGACCCCTGTGGGATGCGTGTTGTTCTGATGGATATGGGGGGCTAGTAAGGGGCCATGTTGTGGTTCCGAATAAACTAACAAAGCGTTTCTTTAAATCAATAATAAAGCTGAAATAGTCATGCGGCAGTGCGGTGTCGTGAGAAATGAGAAACGTACCCTTTCTTGACTCTGCAAAAGTCGAAAGCCATCTGTCTGTAGGCGAAGGCCTTCTCGTTCAGATAGCGGCTGTAGCGTCTGATGAACGTGGACATGTCGTAGCCTGAGGACGACACACTCGTATGTAAACACATGTACAGTCTCCAGTGTCAACTCTGTGCAGGGTATAAGTAGGCTTTACGAAGGTTTAAAATGTCTAGCATTGTGGGAAATACGGGTACTGATTTTCTTGCTGAAACATAGATAAGAAGATTGATACCACTCCCTTGTCTGTATGCTGAGTATGAAGCTAAAGCCAGGAGACGATAGAAGAAGCAGGGGGAAACAGCTAGCCTGGCTCTGTCAAAGGGTAAAAAATGCACCTACTAGCATCTCTAAAGCTTATCAATTAACACCATATATCATTTGTTGATGTGTTGTGTTGAGTGTGTAAAAACCAACAAGTTGCACAGTGAGGTTAGCTGCTTCCCCCTGCTTCCAGTCTTCATTCTAAGCTAAGCTAATCGCCTGGCTGTAGCTTCATATATAACTGCGAGACCATGCTTAGATTACTACTGACGTGTAATCCTGATTATGTAGTATTTAAAATGTCTTAAACTTGTACAATCTGGCTTTCTAAACTCTGCAGATACTCCAATCACCCTAGTAGACAAATCGTCCATGACAACAGACTGTGAACCCAGTGTTTATCACCCGGGAGACTGCATTCATTTCCATGGAGATGGGTTTAATTGAGGGGAGAAAGAGTTAGGAGAGCTGGAACTGAAGGATGGATATAGGAATGGTCAGGTTGGTTGTAACATTCAATCTTATTCTGCTCTTGCACTTATTTTACTTATAATACTGAAAAACATGTTGTGTTTTGAAGTGTTTTAGGGAGAGTGAAACACAAAAATAAAGGAAAAACTGGAAAGAGAAGCTTGAAAAACAACTTAGGAACCCACCGTGGGAGCCAGTTTTGTCCAGGAAGTTGCTGAGATTGAACAAGGTGTTTCTAGATGCCAGGAACTGCACAAATCTCTGCAGGAAAGGACAAATACACAGACAGGGTTTAGTTCTCTGCAAGGTTTCAAATAATTGAACGCCTCTAATTTTGGCAAAACTAACTGAAGTTAGTCAGCATTCTCGGTTAGAAATTTTGACTTGGTGGCAGCTGGTGGACGTGGTGGTAATTAATGCGCAGTGGTGAAAAATAACAGATTGTAGACATTATGGTGTCTTACTAAAACACTGTGAAACATCAAGTTATTGTACATATCAACAAAACTAATTTAAATGAAAATTTGTTTTTCCTTTATTGGGTAATAACCATTACACTTCAGAGTTATGAATAAACACATTATATCCCAGCCGTCATGGTTTGTTATATTCTTATGATCATTGTCATATTCAGCAGAAGGCTCCATCTTAAATTTAAAAAAGTCTTGGTTGATGTTCACAGCTATCTCAAAGGAGCTGTTCAGCACTTTCAGCACTCTACCCCAAACCTGTGAAACTGCCTGTAGCAGAAAGTGGAATTAATATGAGAGGTGCGATTCTATACTTGTCCTTTTCCCTAGTGATCTGATAGAAATCCAGCATTAAAGAAGCAACGACGCGGCCCTTGTAAGTAGGAGTGTGTGAATATCAATTATACATAGAGAAGATCATGAAATCTAGCATAATAGCGACAAATAGGCTCCCTCTGTAGACCTGCAACAATAAGTTCACTCCAGTGACACACACACACACTGCTGTTTATTCAGTGGCTCAATTTACACAAAGCAGAGCGTAATAACATAACGGGAGGTTAGGAATGAGAAATCCTCCCTGGAGAAATGCTAACCGTTACTTCCCCTCCTCCTTTCATTATCTCTCTCTCTCCAGTCAGTACTCTCTCTATCATCGTCAGGGACACTACTACAGCAAAGCCCTGGCTAAAAACAATCAGGTCTCAGGAGACAGAAGGTACATATTGTATACATATATTGCCTTGTCAAACATAATTTCATGGCCCTTTGAGCTTTTTGTGAACATCACAAAGATAATAGCACAAACGTGGAAAAAAATCACTTCATCACATCGTTCACACACAAACTGAGCTTGTTTGTTAAATGTGTGAGTGTGTGTGTATGTGTGTGTGTGTGTGTGTGTGCAAGTGTGAAGGGCCACAGTGCAACACAACTTACCCGTTCCTCCTGACACCTGCTATATCGACTACAAAGGTTAATGCCATTATCTTTGAAGCAATAAATCTCTTCTGCTTTCCATCCAATACATGCTGGGAATACAGCCCCTCTCTCAATGGTTTTGAACGGAGAAAAGTAGGTACAGAAGGTAAATGAATGACTAAATGAGCTGATGGCTTGGTCTAATACAGTATAGTCTCTCCTGCTCTCTAATATTTAAGAACACTTTCTCTGACAATGGTGTGTCAATATCTATCTCTCCTTTGTGTCATCTGCAATTCAGAGGCAGCTTGGCCACTTTGATGGGCAGTAAAGCAGCATCTGCTTATCTCTCTGAGTTATCCCTTGTTGCCCATTCATAGCTATTGTCTTTCTTCAGCTGTCAGGACATAAATTAGGTCAAGGAGGTCAGGACCAGGAAACAGAAGGCCAGTCCCTTTGCTAATTCCATGACTGCTGTTGAATGCAATATTTATGTGGCAAAAGCAAAAAAGTAAAGGGGTATTGTGCAGAGACAACCTTTAAGTATGCATGGAAAATATTTAGCTATACTGTCACTGAATTCATGTTATAACCCTTTTCTATCAGTACACAGTCACTGCCAGAAATATTACCAACTTAAAATCCAGTTTTCCCTTTTAATTTCCCTTTTAGTAGCTTTAAGCCTGCATTCATTGATTTTTTGGCCACTTGAGGACAGCGCAACAAGCCTGACATTGACAAGCAGCATTATTATTGACATATTGTTGCCTTATATAGTTCTTATGTGTTAGCAAACAGTTGCCTATTTAAACATCCAGCAGACATGAGGCAACATTAGCATTAATTTGGAGTTGTGTTTCTGTCCACTCGGTGAATTTAAGACCTATGTCCATTCTCTTTTTAGCTCTGTTTTGGACTCCAAAGGTAATTAACTGCATCCTTAGCTGCTAAATGCTCCACAGATATTCGGGAACTATTTTATGCTATTTGTTGCTAAGCAGGTAGAGTACAGTCGATGTACCAACATGTTTTAGCTAAAAACAGCTGCTTGCTTTGTCTAAACTACTACAGTAAAACTGTGGTCCATAGAACCAAAACAGTGAGCTGAAAGACACTAAAAAGCTCCATAAAGCTGAGGGGAACTGCAGAGTTGGGTGATCATTCTTAGTGGGTTTATCACTACAATCTTTTGACCCATTGTTCATATAAAAATATTGCTAAGTATTGATAAGTGCATACAACAATTTTAACTAAACAGTTTTAACCTAACAAAACTGTTGCATATTTTAACAGTGATATTAGTATGCTGATAAATTATTCCACCCTTTTACACTCATACCATGGCTGAATGAACAGAGGTCAAAACTACAGCTTGCACTTACATGCATGAAAGGCAATCTGTGCCGGTGTGTTTTTGAGCAGGTATTTGTGTGGAAAGTCGACCGAGCAGAGACGCCCTTGTCCAGCACTGCCCTACTTTACATCGGACCGCATCCCAGTACAACCAATCCTTTGCCTGACTCTACTGGGGGCTACAATGACACTATGGTGGTCAGTGGGAATATACATAAAACCAGTCATTAAAACCAGCAACAAACATATTAACATATGTTATATCAGGGTGTGTGTAAACAGTATGTTATAATCTCACCTCGTTGCCATGCACCATGAGGTGGTGTGTGGTGATCAGGGCTTTGAAAACCACCACCCAGCTGGCGTTGCCGGCCCTCTCCATCAGCGTGTCAGCCATCTGGGGGACGTTCACATTGGTCTCCTGGGTGGCCTGGATCAGGTCTGAGAAGGATGGAGGAGAGGAGGAACAGGAGGTCAGACAATGGATATTAGCAGGGGAGCGACTCAGCACAGGTACAGCGAGTGCTGGAAGCCTTTTATTTAAGTAATGGCAGCACAAACCACTGCAGGGATGGTGTAAGAAGGAGACAGATGGGTGACAAACAAACAGGACTGTGCTAGAGTAAATGCAGCTGAATTGGGTCTGGGCTTTGCTGAATTTCACAGCCGTAGTCTCTTGCATCCTAATTTCACTTGAATCTAACATTTGCATTCCCCTGAGCGGTGTTCTCTCAGATTTTATTTATGTTCAGTGTTAATCAACCTGTTTAAAAACTAAAAAACTAAAACCAGAAGTTGTGTTAGACAAGCAAATTTGCTGGATATGCAGGTCTGGCAGGGTCCGATGTCTGTCTAAATGTGTTAATTCCTCTTATTTTGTCAATCAGTTGCCTATTTAGTAAGTAGTAACTTGTCTGTGTAAGCAAGAGGAGGTCGTTTTTATTGAAAGAACTGCCTCTGGAAGCTGCCATTTTCCATCTTAATGAAATGTATTTAGATGAGTGCTTCACATTATGCCACCATTGCCTGGTGTGAGTCACACTGGCTGCTGCTTTGTTTCTTACTGCAACCAGTCATTAATACTAACACAGGCTGAGGGAGAGTGGAATATTCCACAGCAGAGAGAAAGAAAGAATCCAAAAGGGAAGAAGGGATAGCAAAGGCAGACTTTCAGGCAGACTTTCAGCCCTACAAATCAGAATCAGGCAGAATCAGTTGTAAATGAATGCACCGAGGTTTTTAGAAAGGCCTATTTGTCTGTAGCCTATTTACTGTTTTGGTTCACTGCTCTCATCAGTGTCCAACTGATGCAGGCAGCTGTCAGTGAAAACGCTCGGATACATCCTCTGTATGCCACCTTTCCACCAGACAGACACAGTTAGCAACTAGCTGCTGCACATAGTGAGGCAGTAACCAGCTAAAAGAGCCTGATATTTCCCTCAGGAGTTGGTGGAAACCAACTTACATGGACTTACATTTGTTGGGAGGCCAGAAACACGATTCTAAATCAGTTCTAATGCTGTTCCATGTCTGCTGGATGTGTTTGTTCACAGTGACAGGTGATAGGCCCCTAGCCGGACAAAAAAAAAACTATTATTGCTCCTTTAATTTATACGTATGTTCAGGCTATATAAAAATGGCTGATTTCCACTACTAAAACCAACTTTAAACTTGGATAATGCTAACTAACTACTATAATTTATTGTTTATGCTCCAAGTATTAGCATAAACACGCACATAATTTAACACCAAGACGATCTGCCAAAAGCTTAGCATACCATATAGCATAGCTTCCTAATACCCAATAAATTAGAACTATCAGTAGTTGTGCTTCCTTCCTCCTATTAATCAGCATCTGTTAAATATTATTTCATTATTTATTTACAAGGACAGCACACATTAATCAACATGTGCCAGTGTTAGTCAGCTGAAAAATGTTCTACTGCGTTCCTTTAACTGCAGTGAGGCCTATGTGAAGAATATCTATTCACTGGCAGACAGGAGAGCTGTCCTCCGTGGCAAACCTCAGGGCATATTTTAAGAGCCAGTGAGAGGAATGAGATAAGTTGGTGTGTACGTAGAGTGATGGGCGGAGGGGGAGAGAAAGCATGACCGGTGTCATTTTAAAAGCCTTGATTCAGCAGAGCAGGGCAAACGCAGAGCAACTACTATTGAGTCCTGTGATTCATTAATAGTGTCATATCCATGTCTGCACATTGCCTGCTGACTGGGAGGCAGCTGAGAGGTGTCTATTGAATTTTCCTTCCTGGCTTAATATAGCCTAAACGCCAGTACACCTCACAACTACTACACCCCACACAGGGGGCAATCTACTCGTTATAATGATAAGTAATGAGCAATGGGGAGTTTAGGTACTAAAAGTTTTACTTTAAGATACTTAACAAACGGAATGCATAACAACTCTTACAAAAGACTGATATGGGAAATGTGTTAAATTGCAGTAATTGGCATGTCACATATCATTAGTTTAATACATTTTACAGAAATGTTATGTTATGTCTGAGACTAAGACTCAGATACCCACATACACTGTCTTCGCACTGTAAATGCTCACTGGAGCACAACATGTGTATCACTCCCCTGCTGAATATAGTTCCCAAGAAATACATATTTTACTCCTGTTTGAGTAAAGTTTGCTGAAATCTACAGTGCCCAGCTCTGTGCCTCTCAGCTTTGCATTGACATTCCGATAAGGCACAAGTGTTTTGGATAATGGTGTGACATTTTCTGTGACTAAATGATGAATCATCAACTGTAGTTTATAAATCATGTTTCTCTTTCCACGAATAAATCCAGTCCAGTAGTGTGGCTGGAAAGGCAAGCGGAAGAATAATCATGCAAAAATGCGTTCAAGGTGCTTTGACAGGCGTTCTTGCTTCCTCTATCGTGCTTTCATCACGCCGTAATGATCATTGTGCATGTCCTCTTCAGTAGTAAGGCAGCACATACACACACACACACATTAACACACATACATGCACACACACAGAGAAGGATAATCCCTACAGGGCTGATGAGTCAGCAGCCTGCATCATCCTACGCTTTTCATCTCTCGGTCTGTCTGTCTGTCTCTATCCCAGTCTGTCGGTCTGTCTGTCTCACTCTCTGCCTGTCTCTCTCTATATTTCCCACCGTGAGGGTCAGTGCTTTCGCCAGAGTGTTACAAACTGCACAGCCACTATCATTTCATATAGCTGCCTCAAATCTACAGTACATCATGTCCTAATAAGAGAACAAAAACTGTGAGAAAATTCATGTACAAGAGATTATAACCGTAATTCAAGAGAAAATTATTATTACAATTGTATTATTTGTTGCCGAGCAGCCATTGCTTCTGCACTGTGCTTCTCAATCAAATAGCGGTTCCATGCTAAGACGCCTCTATTCTTTAGCTATGGTGGCCATTACTGCTCACGATAAACACTGCACACGGAAGGATGTTATGAACCGTATTGATAAAACCTTTCACGAACCTACTAGTGAATCTAACAGTGAACTGACATCAGTTTATTTGATAGTCTGCTGGGTAAAATATTGGGAAATATTCAATCAAATAGAACAAAATCCTGCAGAAAGATTGATAGAGAAACGGGCAGAGAGCCTCTGTTCTGATTGGGATGCTGCACAACAATTCAGCAGGAACTCCTGACTCACCGTCTCCCCCCACCTTGCTTCTCAATTATTCATGTGTGAGTGTGAGTAAGAAAGAGAGACGCAGAGAAAGAGACAGAGTGCAAGGCAGCTCGATATGTGGCCAGTGTCAAGTGCTAGCACACACAGAGAGTCACGCTGACTAACAATTACTTGCATTCTGCATTGCACGTTGCAACATACAGCAAATCAAATCATAAATATCTGTATTACCAGACTAATACACACAGATTTTAAACTAAGCATTGTCAAAGACTGAGTGACCAATCATAAATGCATAAAAACTAAGACTCTCCCTGCCTGATTAATGCACACATCTCCATGCACCCAGCCTGACCTAATCCTGATGGCGTTTCTCCAGAGCCACAGAGGATATTATACAATTGTTGTACTCTCTGTGAATAGTAAGCTGATCTTGGTGTGTAAAACTGGTGTAGTTCCCAATCACAGGAAAAATACTGGCCCTAATTTTGTAATTTGTGCAATGTGAAAGGATTTGCTTGTACTAATGAACCCACAGAGGATTAACAGACAAATCTGCACTTCTCCCGAGCTGTATAATGGTTTGGCGTCCCTGGTTTTGGTTCTACGACCCACACCTCCACTGTTGTAGTTCTCTCTCACCGCTCTCATTAACTTTGTTTCCAGCAGCAGGCAGCCGCTTTCATCCAAAAAGTTCAGAAACCCATTTTGCACTACCTTCTCAGAACCAAACGTCAGATAAAGTTAACGACGGGCTGGTGAACACAGTGGGGCAGTTAGCAGTTAGCATGCTAGCCCCCAGCAGTTGAACAGAATGTCTGACTTTCATAGGCAGGCCAGAGACACAACTCTGAATGAATGCTAATGATTTTAACTTATGTTTATAGCGTTTGCACTGCCCTCAAGTGGCCATCAAATCTATTATTGTTGCTTTAAGGTGAGCAACCACTTAATTATCTGTCTATGATAAATGAATCTCCCAAACAAAGCTGCCAGTCACTTTGACATATATTTATTCATTTATAAATGACATTAGCATTTGACCTGCTACATGTTTTTAATTTCTTAGTTTTGGTATAATGCTAATGCCTTGTGACCCAGTAAAGTTAGCTTAAACACATGAAGCCAAAAGCCACCAATCCACCAAATAAACATAATGATTTTACCGTCCACAGTCTTGTTACTTCATACTATAACAATGTTATGGAGTCTCCAATGTTCACAGAGTGTGAAATTAAAGTTAATTAAAATACTGAGATCTAATGGGCAAGTGCAGTAAAAAAAGGCCTATGATAAAAGCCTGATGGGAGTGAGTCAGCAAGGGCTGCCATGGAGAGGTGGTGGTATTGAACCACTGAGAGTAATTGCATAGTGAGTCTTTCCAGCTGCAAGAGCAGTTAGCTATCAGCTGGTGATTACTGCAATAGCCACAGCTACACTCAAATCTACAGAATCACAGATGTTCACCAGCACTAGTGTAAAGCCCAGACTGCTGGCAGTAGCACACATGACTCACACAGATGCAGCCTAACCTAGCTGCACTTTACATTGTGTCTCACAAATAGACATAAAATATAGGACCTGTAACAGCATTTACAAGATCAATTCTGGTTCAAAAATGTTGAAGCAGCCAAACATGAAGCTTACAGTCTCTTGTTCTGTGGTCCCAGTATTTTGGTCCCTCTGTGACATCATACAGAACATGTCCTTCATTTAAGGCCTGGGGGATTTTTAGCTGTTACACAAGGTTATTAGTGACATGAGGATTAGAAGAGCCTCTACACTTT